GGGGGGGGGGGAACAGATACAGAGTACATGGACACATTTCTTTTTATTAACAGACATAAAATCACATTTCATTAAGTATAATCAGACCAGGCTCTGGCTGGGTAGCTCAGTTGGATAGAGCATCTTCCTGATATGCCAAGATTTCGGGTTCAGTCTCCAGTCAGGGCACCTACAAGAATCAACCAATGAATGAACAAATAAGTGGAACAACAAATTGATGTTTCTCTCTCTCGGTCTTTTGCTTTTCCTCTCTCTCTCTAAAATCAATCAGTCAATAAATAAATATAATCAGACCAAAGAACAAAAGGAAAAAACAATTTTTAAAATTTCATATGTTCATTGAAAGTGTATATATAAGGCTTGCTATTATACTTGTAGCTTTTCATTATTTAACAATTGTAACTAAAGTTATGCATGAAATAGTGATTTCCCCATATGAAACACCTGTATGAACACATAATGTATGTCAATATTGAAAGTTTTTAATACAGCAAACTTACTTCTTGTTAATTTATCTAATTTGGGTTAGACTGACTACAACACTACTCATGGGGGATAATTTGAATCTAAATTGTTCTGTTTTATACAGAGACAAGTTGACAAAGAATGGAAGAAGGGATTTTTAAAGAAATTTCAGCAACTCACAATTTTCATTTATCCTATAATATAGTTAAATTATCTTTCAGCGAAAGAAATAGCTTCTGTATTTTATATGTTTATGAATTATAGGTGTGTAATTTACCTTAAAATAGTTGTAATGTGGTCCTACTATACCTGACAAGTATGCAAGCCATGACATATGCAGCTCATTATATGAGCTGAAAAATATCCAAATACCCTGTTCAGCAAGCCAAGTGTATTGACCATGTACTTGGATGTCAGCAATGTCAAATTGCTATAAAGGTTTCTAAGGGACTGCTCTGCACTTCTGTATTTACATTGGCATGAACTATTAACATAAAGTGTGGATCAGCATTGTCTGTGGGACCACAGTTTGAATAGCATTGTGTTAGTGGACAAAAAATAAGAACATTAAGGAATAAAATAATGGAATCAATAGGCTTGATTTAATATATAGAGGGCACCTTATATCTTTTGACTGGAGAATGCCCCCGCTCCCAAATGACCATGGCACAGTAAAGAAAAAATGAAACAAAAAAACTTGGCTGTGTACACAGGTCATAAACTAAAAACAAATTTTAAAATATAGAGATTTTACAGTCTGTGCTCTCTGATTATAAGCCAATAAAATTAGAAATAAATAATTAAAAGGTGACTGAAAAACACACACACTATTACTAGGAACATACTGTGGGTAATTCTTGAATTAAAAAAAGAAATTTATAAGCTACCTAAAAGACAACAAAAAGTAATAAACTTCATATAAAAAACTATGGGAAATAGTGAAAGCAGTACTTAAAGGAAAATGAATATCTCTAAATGCCTATATTATTAAAGAAGAATGGAACTCTGAGCCCTCGTCTGAAAGAATTAGAAAAACGATTTTAAAAAATACACGAAGAAGAGGGAGTTAATAAATATAAAAGTTGATATTAAGTGTAATATGAATTTTCAAGTGATATTTTTTGTGAGTTTGTAGCATTTATACTTCTGAAGTTATGAAAACACTAAGATTTTTGAAGTACCCTCACAAAGCTCTTTTATAGTTGATGAGAAGGCAGAATAACCTACTAGGAAAGTAGGTAAAGAAAATGAGTGAGCACTTCATAGAAGAACAAATCCAAATGGCAACAAGAACAAATTCATTTATAGTCAGGGGACTGTAAATTAAATAGCAAGATTTTGCTTTACTTAAACCCGTCAGACTAGCAAAAGTTTCAAAGACAGGTCATACTGTTGATGGGGAATATGTGGTATCATTAATTACACTGCTGGCAGAAATGTGAAGGTTTTCAGCCTTTTAAGAATGTAGTCTCACATTAAAGATTCATATACACTTTGACCCATCAATTCCACTTCTGGGAAGCTAGTGCATACAAAAAAAGTGCTGTTATATAATAGTTTATAACATGAGAAATTATGCCCATAATTCCTTCTGCCACCACTTTCTTCAGATCCTAAATCTTTGTATTGTTTTGATGAGTGGTCTGAATAAATCATAAAATGTAATTGGCTATAAGACAGCTTTGAAATCAATTTGACCTGTGATACTCAAACTTTAGTTTGCAGTAGAATCACCAAAAGAGCTTATTAAAACACAAATTGTTGTTCCCCACCCACAGACTCTTTAATTTAGCAGGTAGGGCCCTGAGTACTTGCAATTCTGACAAGTCCCTGGTGATGCTGATGTCGCTCGGTGATTTGAGGACCATATTCTAAGAACCACTGGTTTAGGCCAACTCCTTCACATTACATACAAGGAAGCCTGGAAATATGTTAATTTTATCAAATTATTTGTTCAAAATCACACTTAGTAGTAGGGCTTGGGCTAGCACTGGTTTAGGTTTTTTATCCGTGGCGCCTTGATGCCTGGCATGTTAAATGGAGTAAAAGAATGTGATTTGTACTTGATATTTTAGGTAAGTACTAATTAATGACTGCAAACAGTTGAGCTTGTCTATTTTCCCCACTTGCAGCATATATTGCTCCTTTGAAGAAAAGAGAAGAATTTCTATGTGGAAAAGGCCAGACAGGGACTTGTGGCACATGATTACTTTTTGTATAGCAGTCATCACACCCTGACTGGTTAGAATAAACCCAGTGGCCCCTCTTTCTAACAGATACATTGCAATGACTCTTTACTATCCGGAAATGAAATGCACAGATGATATAACCTACTTAACATGATTTTTAAAAAATCGGTATAATGCCCTACCTATAACGTAAAGGATAAGTTAAAAGAAATTAATTTATAACAAAATATTTTTAATATGCAATTGTTCAGGCAAAACTATACTAGAAAACAAAAGGTAGCAATCTGACGCTTGCACCTATACCATGAATGTAAAAGCTACAAATGTAGACAGATTCGGGTATGGTGGTTTTTTTTGCTACTCAAATACCACAAGGACTATTGACATTGGTGATATGATTTTCTGAAATGGTGAAAACTCTTAATAAAGTTCTTTTTTTGTTCATTTTTAATCCTCACCCAAAGATATGTGTTTATTGATTTTAGAGAGAGAAGGGAGAGGGAGAGAGGGAGAGAGAGAGAGAGAAAGAGAGAGAGAGAGGCATCGATGTGAGAGAGAAATATCGATCGGTTGCCTCCCATCCGTGCCCTAACCAGGGAATCGAACCCACAACCCAGGTATGTGCCCTTGCCAGGAATCAAACCCATGACCCTTTGGAGCATTAGGACAATGCTCCAGCCAACTGAGCTACCCAGCCAGGGCTCTTGGTAAAGTTCTTAACAAAACAAAATATAGTACCCTTAATTTACTCAATAACTGCATTTCTGAATTTCTGGAAAATACAACACACACATACATAAACAGGGCAAAGGACCTATTTTGTTTACAAATAAAACAGACTTAGGTTTTAAGTTCAGGTGGCCATAAACAGGTTTTCGTTTGTATGAATGTTCATCAAGACATTTAAAAGTTTTGTTAGACAGGGTAATTATTGATTTTGTGGGACTGTTTCACACATTGCAGTATCTCCGTCAGCTTCTCATTAATTGCCAGCCATGCCCCCACAAATCTCTGTTACAACCGAAACAGTGTACCCATACATTTACAAAATACCCTGGAAACTACAGTCCCCTGTGAGAGGAATTACGTGAGTAAGTGCCATTGTTCTGCATTACAGAACTTCCTGCCAAGGTATCGATAACCAATGAGATTAAATATTCTTATTTAATTCACTTTTCTGTCACTGAAGCTTAAAGTATACTAACAAATTCCCATCTTCTGTATAACTGCATTGTTTGGTGGTAGTTATCTATCTCCCTTTGTAGGTTTCTGCTTGTGGGACAGAAAGAGGAAATTTGTTAACTCAGCCACTGTGCTAATTTTTTCCCACTGCTCTAATTCTTGTTTTCTTTCTTGCCCTTTATATTCTAGGAGGAATGCAGGCCCAGGTTGGAATGCCAGGAAGTGGACCAGTGCCCATGGAGCGAGCACAAGGTAAATAAATAGTAATATCTTATTAATGTGAACTGTACTTGGAAATGTTCTATATCTGCACTGTCTAAGATGGCAATGTGGCAGCCACTACCCACACATATAGCTATTTGAATGTTAAAGTAATTGATATTAAATTACATTGAAATTAGGTAAAATCTAAAACTCAGTTCCATATTACAACTGCTCAGTGGCCACATGGGGCTAGTGGATACCCTACTGGATATTACAGCTATAGAACATTTCTGTCATTGCAGAAAATTCAATTGGACACCTCTGGTCTAGACTTCCAATCTAGGGATTCAGAGCCCAGCTCTACAAGGATTGATGATGAAGTAAAGGATCCTTTGTTGCCATTTAATTCATATCACCTTTTCCTGATAGTCTAATGATTCTGCTGACATGTTTGCTCTCCCTCTGTGCATATATGTTGATCAAGTAAGGGATTTTAATAATGAACATGTAATATGCAGCTGGGTACGTCAAAGACTAAATTGAAATCCCAGAGAAAACTGGGAGGGGACCAAAGCTGTGGCAGTAACACTGGATACCACAGTGGTAGGCACTCCAAAATCTCCACGTTATTTCTCTATGTTGCTGGAATTTGAAGGAAATGAAAATGCAGTGGTTCAGTTGAAAACATTAGGAGGAGAGAGAGTGAGAAAACAGAAGGAACTAACAATAAAACTGAGTGCATACTGTAGGTCAGGCACTTTAATTTTCGTAAACGGCCTTGTGAGTTAGGGGTCAGCACCTCAGTTTTCAGGTGAAGAGATGGAAGCTCAGAGTTTTGAGTTACTTGCTGAAGGGGACATGGTAAGTAAATACCGATACCTGAGTAACGTGGACTATACTTGGGGCGCTCATCTTCTCCTCCAGCTAGTAAGTGACAGAGCGAAGATTCTGAAGTCTCCAATTCTAGAACCTATCCTCTTTTTGTCAATCCATACCGCCTCTATTAACTTCCAAAAATATTTTCTTTAGACAAGCTTAAGTTACTTCTTCTTAGCATATGGTCCATAAGTGAAACCTATTTTTAAGCAAAACATTAAGAAATAGAACTATATACGTACTCCTTATCTATGTGCATTGGACTTGGTTATGGAAGCTGTGACTAATAATCTTGTCAGGTGGTTGATTGTAGGACAAGCTCTGGGCTAAGTACTTCATCTGAGCATCCCATGCTTTTGTGCAATTGTGCCCCACCCAGCTAATCAGTAGATTGCATACGTATCCTAAAGTATTTTTGCAGTAGCGCTGAGGAGTTGGGGTTTCAGTCATACTTTTACCTCTCCCCAAGCTGTAGCTCTCCGTCAGTTGAGCTGTAGCTTTTTGATAATATACTTCCATAAGGCATCTTCCTTTCTGCTATAGTTATCTTCATTTTCCTGGTCAAAAGTTAACAAAGGGAAGTGGCTCTAGTTTTGAAGGTATATCAAGGCTGTCTTCATGAAGAGACAAAGTGAGATGAGTTTCCTTTCATGAGTTTCCTTCAGTACCTGGCAGAAGAAGCAAGAATCTTTCCATTTGTACCTAGTTTGTCTTTCTTTTCCTGGAATCCTTGTTTCTTTGGCACATTTATAATGGTGAAAGGAGACGGTGAGATGTTTAAGATGATACTTCCTCTTGCCTTCTGCCACCTTTGTTTAGTGTTAGTGCCCTTGTCATTTCATCAGTCTTTGTTTGCTGTTGTCATGGTGTTTGTTTATTATCAAAGACTTGCAGTGGCAGAATATTCTTGAGGAGTGACATTCTCTTTCCTTGTCTGAAGTTCCTTCACTGCATTTCCCCATTTGCTACTTCTGTTGTGGGCCTCTCCAGAATATATCTTGCCTGCCACATTCAGTATAATTTCTTTCATTTTTATTCTTTACCTAAGTAGAGATTCAGAACCATCCTTTTTATATTTTGTTTCTTTTTTAATGGTATCATAAGGAGATTTAGGGGGAATCATAATAGCAGAGGTGGAAATGGAAAGTGGCTGGTATTCCTGCCCCAATAAAATCAGTGGCCCACAGATTTCAGCTTTGGAAGCAGTCTGATCAAAGCAGAACAGCTTCTGATCCCAGAGATGCTAATATAGTTTAGGAAGATTTTGTAGCCTGAGGCAAACTAATGAACTCTCGGCTTTTTAACTTACACGTATAAATCTCCAGTGCCTGTATGTGTATGTTTCTGCGTGCGTGTGCAAGCTATTTTAAGTGTCTGCTCTTTCTCCTTTTCAACTTACTGCTTACCTAGGAACCCTACAGCACTCGCCCGTGGGACCCGCCGGGCCTCCATCAATTGAGCGAGTTCAAGGTACCCATTGTATCTGTGGGTTTCCTTTTGCTTGTGGTTCAGGGTGGGACGTTGAGAGGACAAGGACTGCTTGGCAGTCATCCTCACGTTCAGAACCCAAAAGGGTAGTGTTTTGGGTTTTTGTTTATAATTTTTTCCTGTTGGGGCCACAAGCCTAAGATTGACCTCTTCACACAGGGCAGAGAACATGGATGATATGGGCATCTGTCCGAGGCTGTACTCCCTCCCTACTGGTGTCAGGAGGCTTGGATGGAATAGCAGTCTGTAAGGAGACAGCAGGTTCTTGCAGAGCCATGGCAGTGTTCACATATGCCAAGACCCTTACCTCTCTTTTGTGACTCTGGTCCTTGAACTAAGGTTGATTATAAGGAAAACCAGGAGCATAAGTTTCTTCAGGTTGCAGTGCTAGTCCTTGGAAGGTTCTCCCCAGTTTGCTCTTTATATAATTCCATCCATACCTCTGACATGGCACAGATTCTGCCTACACCCTGCTTCTGTTCTTGAGCTGCAAGAGGAGTCTGCTGTGGTGAGGTGTCACCCACTCTAAGGTGTCTGAATTATGTTGTCAGTGGTGTATAGAGTCATTTCTTGTTCCTTATATGTCCTTCACAGCAGTAACTCCCCATTTGTTTCCCTGTCAGTGCCGATGCAAGACCCCAGAGCAGCTATGCAGCGTGGGCCCTTGCCTGCCAACGTCCCAACTCCTCGAGGTCTGTTAGGAGACGCTCCAAATGACCCACGTGGGGGCACTTTACTTTCTGTAACTGGAGAGGTAGAGCCTAGGTAAGCAATGACATGGAAGGAAAAGCTTAGAGGAATCAGAATTTTTCCTTGCTTTGAGAACAAAGTCTTTCCACACTAGTTGTGCCCGTTGGCTGCTGTTCAAGACTGAGCACTTCTCCTTGGGCAGAACTGTGTACTTGACTATGTCATTTTGAACTAACCATGGCTACTCCCATCTTCAGATATTAGAATATCTAGCACACATACCCAGACAGGAAAAACATACTGCTTATTGGTAGTAGTAATATTAATAATGGCAATAATAATCATACTAAAATAATAACTTATATTACTGGGGATTATGCCTCTGACTCTGCTCGGAGTACTTTATTTAGATCATCTCATTCAATCCACACAAACCTGTGAGATTGATAATAATATCAGTCCCGTTTTACAGATGAAGAAACTGAGGCATAGAGAAGTTAAGTAAATGGGCCCAAGATCACACAGCTAATAAGTAGTGGAGCCTAGATTTGAACCCCTATGGTAACAATGTTCTTAAGCACTATACTGCATACTCATTATATATAATGGATGTCCATTAAGTCCTTATTATGAGCGAGCGCCCTGACCAAATGTGAAATTCTAGAATATGTTGATTTACGTCTCCATAGCTTTTCTTCAGCCTGTTTGGTGTTACTCTCTTAGCATTCATAGACTGATGTTTGCATCAGTTCTTTGTCTGATTTTTGCTTACTGATCTTCTGGTTGACACTTTTGTCTTATTTTTTGGTTCTGTTTTAAAATATAATAATTTTTTCCATCTGTAGAGGTTACCTGGGACCACCTCATCAGGGTCCACCCATGCACCATGTCCCTGGCCATGACAGCCGTGGCCCGCCCCCACATGAGATGAGGGGAGGGCCATTAGCCGAGCCCAGACCTCTAATGGCAGAGCCAAGAGGACCTATGCTAGATCAGAGGGGTCCACCCTTGGACGGCAGAGGTAAGGGCAGACCATGTCACAACACTGACTGGTAGTTATGGGTTGGTGATAAACCCGGCTGTCTTAGGCTCTAATCTGGGATGAACAATGCTGGGGCAATCAAGTTGGCAGGCATTTTAAGGTTTATCTACAAATCTGAGAAATTGGGGAAGAGAAAGCAGTCCCCTGTAATTGGGGGGAATTGTGACTAGAGGAATTGATTTCTGTCTTCCTTGGGTTATTGATTCTTCTTGCAGTAAAGGTGGATAGCTACACAATGGTTTTCTTGGACCTTACTTTCTAGGCGGAAGAGATCCCCGCGGCATAGACACACGAGGGATGGAGGCTCGAGCCATGGAGGCGAGAGGATTAGATGCCAGAGGATTGGAGGCCCGTGCGATGGAGGCCCGTGCGATGGAGGCCCGCGCGATGGAGGCCCGCGCGATGGAGGCCCGCGCGATGGAAGTCAGAGGGATGGAGGCCAGAAGCATGGATCCAAGGGGCCCCGTGCCTGGCCCTAGAGGCCCTATACCTGGTGGAATCCAGGGTCCCAATCCAATGAGCATGGGGGCTGTTGGCCCCCAGGGATCCAGGCAGGTATGTGCGGCACATTCACTTCTGGCTTCTATGTGAAATCTTGATCTGCTCTGAAACTGATTATTCACCCTGATTATTACTGCTTTCTGATTTGGGCTATTTCTCAGCCTGTTGGAAAGGGAAGTTTAGAATCTCCCTTCCTTTAGTTTCTCTGTCCCTTAGGATAGAGATTTTCTGGTTTACAGGATTATAGTCCAAAAAAGCAACTTTTTCCCACAATTTCAGGAGCTTTTTGATTCAGAGCAGAGGCCCTGAAAATTCAGAGATAAAGAGTATATCTAGGCCCTGGCCGGGTAGCTCAGTTGATTAGAGCATTGTCCCGATATGCCAAGGTTGCGAGTTCGCTCTCCAGTCAAGGCACAAATAAGAATCAACCAATGAATGCATAAATAAGTGGATTTTCTCTCTCTCTCTCTCTATCTCTCTCTCTCTCTCTCTCTCTCTCTCTCTCTCTCTCTCTCTCAAAACCAATAAATTAAAAATTTCTTTAAAAAGAATATATCAGTAGTCACTTGAGAAACCTCTCCCAAATGATTAACTGCTTTGTTGGAGCGTGCATATGAAGATTCTTAGTGGTCATTTAGATAATCTTAGGTTTGCAGAAACCTGTTTTAGTTTGCTTTTATTGTCTAGCCTAAGTGAACAGTGAGTATGAAAAGCAGTTTACTAATGCTCACCTTAAAACCTGTGGAACTGAATTCTTATCTCTGCTTTCTTTTTATTTGTCTCTCTCCAGCTGTGAGAGTATGTGGTTGTCTGTGATTGTCTGTGTTTTGTTATCTCCTCTCTCTTCATCCCCAATTGATTGTGGGGAGGTGTGTATCTCCCCTCAGTTTCAATACGCTAAAACCTTCATCTCCTTCTAGCCCTTCCACCTTTCTTTTTCCTATATGTCTTCCTCCTTCCTCTACGTAGTTCTGTCTCTCTTTTCTCTTTCATATGCTTCTGTGCCTTCCTCCCCTCCTGTGTGTGTGTGAGAGCGAGGAGAGAGAGAGAGGGAGAGAGGACAGAATGTCAGAGCTGAAATGGAACATGTCAATCATCCAATTCTCTCATTTTGTAGGTTTGGAAACTGAGACCCAAGAATTCAGGTGACTTGTCTAAATTCACACAACTGAAAAGTGGCAGAGCAAAGAATAAGACCCACTATTTTTTCCACTGTACCACTCTGTCCTGTTACCTGCATCTTGTATACGTGTGTCTCCCTCCCCCTCTTTAAAATGAAATATGAGTATGTTGTTTCTGGTATGTGTCGAAGAAAACTGTTCTCTATTGTTTTTCAAGTTGTGCTTTTAAAAAATGTGTTCATGGACCTCAATGTTTATTGTGCCCTCTATGGTCAGTAGCCTCATAATACAAATGGTTTTTATGTGTTCCTTCAGTCATTCAACTAATATTTATTGAGCACTTACTATGTACATACCAGACAGAGCTGTAGGTACTAGGGATATAGCAGTGTGAACAAAAGAAGTCCCTGCTCCCATGGGCCTGCATTCTAGTTGAGACAGACAACAAATAACTATATGATGTGCTTATATAATTCTGTCGATAATGCTGTGGAGAAAGACACTGAAAACAGTGGTTGGAAGACTATTTCTGGATAATGTCTTGCTCCTTTATCTCTGCTAGTGCTTGAAATCATTACTCTGTAATGTTAGGCTTATATAGTTTTCATTAGTAGATTCTATAAAGTTCATTAGATTTGAGGTAGAGAAAATAAAAATTTTATGCTAAAACCTTTTAAAAATTGTTTAAGTTAGTGTGTAAACTTATAAGTAAATATATAAAATACATTCACTCATATATAATAGATGTAAATAAGAACCTCACTTCTTGCCCTGTACCTGTCTCCCCTGTGACCACCATCTCCTATAGATAATTGCTTTTTAATGTATCTTTCTAGCAAATAAGAATATATATTCTTATTTTTTCAAATACAAATATACTATATTTTTATTTTTCCTCCCTTCTGTGCCTTGTTTTTTTACTTAACAGTATATCCTCATTTGATCATTTTAAATCAGATTTTAATTAACTCCAGTACACTTAAGTTGGAAACTCATCAGTAAAAGGGTTATTATTGTTAGAGTGATTATATAACTTATCATCAAACAGGGACACATTTGAGAATGAGAGTGCTGTTAGTATTTACTCAGGGAAAAAAGCATAAACTGGGATTGTCTAGGCAAACCTAGATGTATGGTCACCCATATTATTACTTGTCTGCCTAAAATAGGCACTCCTGGAAACTGAGTGATTAGACCACATTATAGTACTTCAAGTTAGCATTGACTGAAGCTTCAGAAAGGTTATTCTCAGAGATGCTTCAGGTCTGTAACAGATGATGAAAGTTCAGACCCATCTGTGGATTCAGTATTGATAAAGACCAGGAAGTGACAATAGTTTAGCAAGCTGTACAAAGTCATACTAATGCTTTAGTATCTTTAGGAAATGAGTTAATGCATGTAAGTGAATGTTCCAGATAATAGAACTATTCTACCAAATTTTTAAGCTACTCGAATGAAAACTTGTAAAGTGTATTATGCTTCCTTCCCTTCTTAAACAGAATACAAAAATTATTTTAATTATTTTGAGTACTCCAGGTCATCATTAAATGTATCCATTGTTGTATATGCTATAATAGAAAGCTGAGTTATTTCCTGTTTCTAGTTTCCTTCACCGTCAGGCTGTCACCTGGCTCCTCATATTGCTGTCGTGGTATCTGCTCCTAATGGTCTATCCTCATTTCTTTTATGCTTTGCTGCTTCTAATCTTCTGGGGAAGCAGGTAACAAGTTTGTTAACAATTGGTGTTTAATAAGAGTACCTAAGCTCTGGGTGAATGCCTGAATGTGAACTTAACTCCAACATAGGGACTATTTAACAGTTATCCTAGGTGCTCTGAGGCCTTTTCCTGGGTCCTGGTAGTCTTTTCAAACACTGAACTCACCAAATATCTTAAATATTAATAAGTATGTTATAACTGCACTTTGTTCTTTTAATTCGGGTCAGTCATATTTCTCTGTATGTATTTAGCATCTGCTGCATATTCTCTGGAAAGTTACAAAAAACAAATGTTGGGCTAATAGCAATCTTCTCCCCAGAGGCCTTCCCATCTCCTTTCTGCCTCTACCATTAGGATCGTCTCTGCCTTACTTGTGGGATAGGGCCCTTTGGGATGAACAACCTATGTCTGATTGAACTAGAGGTAGGCGGTATCCCTGTGAATGTAGCTTCCCCAGTGGACCAGCATCCATTATCTAGAATCTGTCAGCTTTCATTTCTGTTTCCACTGAACACTACTTTCCAGGATGCTCTGTTTTCTCTGTGCTTATGTGGCTGAATTTTGCTTGATTTGATGGTATCCAGTTGTGCTGTGTGATATTTGTCGATGCTGGAGCTGTTGTAAGCAAATGTGTCTAACTTGCTAATTGATCTGCCTAAACCCTGCCTTCTGCCATTGCTAGCAGTAGGAAATGATCTTCAAAATCATTAATTTGCTTTTCTTACTCATATCCATAATCAGATCATATTTTTTAACATTGTTGTTACTGGATTCTGGCTGCCTATATGAGAAGTTCCAAAAATCTCTCCTCATCTCTCTTTGTGCACATAGGTCCCAGTCATGCAGGGAGCAGGCATGCAAGGAGCAGGCATGCAAGGAGCAAATATCCAGGGTGGAGGCCAGCCTGGAGGTTTTAGTCCTGGCCAGAACCAAGTCACTCCACAGGACCATGAGAAGGTAAGCAACGCAGCCTGACTGCCTGCATGTGCACAAATTATTTGGACTCTTTTTAGTTACCATGTGCAAGTCCTGGATTTCCAGAGCCCCTTTGGAAGTGGTGTTTACTCTTAGAACTCTTCATGATCTTGTTAACCTGAAAATTTATTGGCTGGTCTTAAAATCCTTAAATGGATGTATGTAAATGGCAGCTTATTTTACATTTCAGACTCATCTACCAGTAGCCGTTTTTTGTACAGTCCAGATTGACGTGAAAATCCAAATCCCTTCTTCCCCTTTCTGCCTTATCCCTCAAAAACAGTAGCAGATTCCCTACAAAGATCTTTCTGTTTCTGTATTTGACCATTGTGGGGAGCTCATGTCTGATAGAAGGGCTAAAACTTGAGAAAAGGGGAGACATTCAAAACAATCGAAAACTGAAAATTTTCCAGGGCTCACAGATATCACCTTAGTCTGCAATAGCTTTGGGTTCGTAAAGGTGTCTGCTGTGAGTCTTCTAATCTTAGGTATTGTACTTGTGCTTTTCATTGTGCCTTTTCTCATCTTCTAGTTTTGTATGTTTTTTGTTCGGTTTGGGTTGATCTGCGGGGGGCTGTTTTCTATGTGTGAAATATCTTTCCTTTTGGACCAAAGCTGGTGTTGTTATTTTGTAGCTGCCATCGTTAAAACTCACTCCCTTTTTTTTTTCTCTTCACAGGCTGCTTTGATCATGCAGGTTCTTCAGCTGACTGCAGACCAGATCGCCATGCTGCCTCCTGAACAGAGGCAGAGCATCCTGATCTTAAAGGAACAAATACAGAAATCCACTGGAGCACCTTAAAAGGTGAGCAGACTTACCCAGCCTGAGTCAGGCAAGCTCCTTGTACATTTGGGGGATATACTGCCAACCTTAACCAACAGGACTCTCCTGATCTCAGGGCTCTCTGAGGCCTGCACTCCTTCTGGCTCGACTCTTCACACTTCAGTAGGTCAGCCCTTATCAGGATAACAGAAGGCTACAGGACATTTGTTCAGATATTGAATTAGTTGTAATCTTTTTCAGCCTTTCTTTCCTAATGGCAAAAGTAACATACAATCAGTTTATTTCAATTAATCAAATACAGAAATGTGAAAAATTCAGGGTAAAAAGCTCTGCTTCCTTAATCTCGATCCCCAGACATAACCTCTAACTATAGTTCGGTGTATACCCTTCCAGAATCAGCTGTGTTATTTTATTCCAAACTGTCCCATCAAAATGGTAAGAATACAAAGCATTTCAGTAAAATGTATAAATGGTTTCATTTCCAGTATTTATTTTATATTGATTATTTTGAGGTTAAACTGTTGCAGGACATAACTAAGGTAGTAAACGTCCACCATCACCCTCAGTCCCTATATGTTTGAGAGGTGGCTGTACACAGCTGCCCTTATTTTTCTTGCTTATCAGTCAGGTAAAAGGCATCATAACCATGTGACCTAACTTGATTATGTGTGATGGTGTTTCCTTTAAAAAAATTTTTCCCCAACAGCTTGTATTTCATAAATCTGTTTTCTAAAAACAGTTTAAAATTTACATTGTCCCAATATCAGCTGGAATATCAGTTTGAATTTCTACTTTTTACCCCATTCGTATTCTAATTTCCGTCCACATATCATATAATCGTGAACTCATTCACACTAATTAGCAGTCTTTATTAAATATGTCATATTTTAACCCATATTTGTAATGCCATTAAAACATCCAGACTGGAAATAGACATAATATCTATTGTAGATGAGTGGCTGGTTAGACTTTTCGGTATGACCAGTACTTTAATTTTTTAGTTCACATATCCGGGGCATTCTATTTTTTTTTCTTTTTCAGTAAAAGTATAGAGTACCTATTACGTTCAGAGGAACAGATAAATAACACTTCCTCTTTTTTTAAATTTATTAATTTATAATGTGAGGAAATTACTATTTTGGGTTAATGGAGGTAGAAATGTTTCTGAAAGTTCTTGCATTACGTATTCTTGCTTGTGAGATATCTCAATTCAAAGCCTTGCACATAAACGACAGGGCAGGGTTTTTTGTTTTACCTTTTATTTTGAAATAATTGTAAATTCACAATTCAATTTGAAAAAATAGTACCTCATGTACCCTTTCCCCAGCTTCCCCCAATGATAAGATCTTGAGAAGCTGTTGTATAATACCTTTTGGTCTGTAGTACAAAACCAAGAAGTCAGCATTGGCACATTACCGCTAACTAGACTACAGACCTTACTCAGTTTTCACCATTTTTTTAAACCTACATTGATTTGTGTGTATGTTGTGTGAGTGTAGTTCTGTGCAATTTACACAGGCGAGGCTTTAATGGTTATTTGCCGGTATCTGTGTATACTGTAGCTAAAATATTGGCTCTCCCTCCATCCTGTACCTTGCTAGCTGTGATCCATCTCTGCTACCACTGACAGGCTTCTATACCGTTACCATCAGAACACTGATTCCCAACCACGGGCAATTTTTCCCCCTACAGGACATTTGGAAATGTCTGGAGACATTTTTGATTGTCACACCTTTAAGGGGATGTTGCTACTGGCATTCACTGGTAGGAACCAGAGATGCTTCTAAACATCCTGTAATGCACAGGACATCCCCCATAAGAGTTATCTGGCCCCAAATGTCAGTAGTGCTGAGGTTGAGAAATGCTGCTGACAAGGACGATTACTTTTGAGAGGCAGGAGGCAGCCACCTTAGGAACCTGCTCCTGGTGGTTTGCTCTATGCATAGTCTCCCTCCCCCACCTTTAAATTTTTTTTCCTGGTGTCTGGGGAAGAGAATTTCGTCTCCACTTCTAATGGCTTTCTCCCAACTTTTCCTTACAGGTTTTCAAAAATACCTGGCAACAAATCTGGACATTAATTCCATAACTTTGTTGAAATGTTACAAAAAGATGACTTCTACATCCTAAGCTTCAAATGACTCAAATTGGTGCCAGGCGGAGGACTCCCCTCACCTTCTCTCAGAGCAAACCTAGAACATTCTGTTGTCTTAGTTTGTATATTTTCTGTGACTTGAAATAAACTTTGAACACAATTTTAGTATATTGCAAATTGATATACACGACCTTTTTGCTTTTAAAAAGCTGACTACCAAGGGTGAAACCTTAGATGTATTTTCTACCCTTACTGCAGTGTCGTACTTCAGTGTTATACTGCCACAGCTGTTTTTCATTTAAGTTAACCATTTATTCTTCTTGATGATATTTGAGAATTTCTCAGAAACAATGGTTTTTCGTTTTGTTTTTGAGAAACAGTGTTTTCTGAAACTTAGTTTTTACTCAGTCTGCTTCCAGTGGGAATAATATTTGCCCTTTGAGAACTTGCTAGAACTTCTGAGTCTACTGGAAGAAAATAGCACATGCTTAGAGTTACAAAATGGTCAGAAGGCCAACAAAGCGAAGAGCCTAGCAGAGCAGTGTATAGTTTAGAAAAATCGAAATATCAAAATGAGTTCTTTTGTCAATAGCAGGTCTATTCACATACATAGTTCAGAGTTAAGACAAAGATGTATTAGCCACTGGTTCTAGTGTGTCAACAACACAAGACTGTGGACATTTCCGTGTCTATTCTAAAACTCTCAGTCTGGGTAGTCAACCTTAAAAGTTACAAAAGCCACAAATTTTTCATATGTTCAAGATAAAGTAAAAACTGAACAGAAACCAAATGGACAAAATACATTTCATCCTACCTTTTAGATAGTCACTAACCTATAGACCTACCTTATAACCAAATTTATTCTGGGAAATTAAAACTTAGAAAACCTGAAAACTATTGCATTACTATTTATTTTAAGAGGACCGAATGTCGAGCACAAGCAGATTGCCCATTAGGCCCTCCCCTACCTGCTTCCTTGCAGATAGATGTGAACATAGTTAGTGCCCTAGCTCTAGCCTATGGCTCTTCTGGCCTGCTGTTCTCTCTCATAGTGACATTAAGGAGGAACGTGATTTCTCTCCATCAGGCCAACCTCAAGAGGTTATGAGGTGCCTTAATAATTAGTAAAGTTCCACTGGAACTGCTCAAGCCTATTTATATTCTCAGAATCCTACCCTCAGATTAAGATTAAAAGCCTGCAATAGGCTTAGAGAGTGTAGTAGCATATTGCTTACATGTCAAGCAAAAGAATGCAAAGATAATCGACTTTACGAGAGACATTGAAATTGAGGGATTTTCTACTCTGATATATAAACTTACTACAAGAATTTGCTGAATAAGATGCTTCATATTACAACCTAGGAAGAAAAACTTGCTCAAAACAGTTTAGGAGCTTTCTGGGTGTCGTGCACATCCCCAGTTTGGGCTTGGATGTTGATTATGTGTAGGATTTATTACTATCGTTACCTTTTCTGCCTACTTCCATGAATAGTCTAGACCTTGATATGTTGATTTTAGCAGCAGTCATATCTTCAAAGTGTCAATATAATTTAGACATTGGGATCAAGAGTGAAGCCTTTCTCAGTAGGAACTCATAAGATATTCAAGGAACGCTAAGATTCCAAACCAAAGTCATTGAAAATCAAATTATCATTTGGTCAGCAGCTGTCTAATAGGAACCATATTGTCAGGATTCCATTGTGCTTTTTTCTAAAGCCTTATTAAATTTAGATAGCTGAAACCGAGGAAATTGGCAACAGTAGGGGTACCCCAATCTATTCCTACAGAAACATCCATTAATACTTTATACTGATGTCCAATTAATAAATGAAACATAATTCATTACTGTAAGTTCCTGACTTATTTTTTTCAGACTAGTGACTGAAAAAATCAATCTTACTAATCCTTCAAGTTATAGAGGTTTCTGGGTAATCAGAAACAATCATTTGTTCATTTTTGACCACTTAATGGTAGAGAAAGAAATAGGTACTATAATACTAATTCAGTAACTTAACATTCTTGTAAATCTTATGGGTTGAATTGTTTTTGGGCACAATGAAGTGTGGGGTTTTCCCCTCTTTTAAGGGCCCTGGTCTTCTTTCTACTGATTCAGTGTGACTACTTACATCCCAGAGCTAGGAAGATGGGAGAAAAAAGCATTTTGACAAGAGAAAGAAAAGGCATTTTGCTTATGTCACTAGGGAAATGATTCCCTAATGAATAAGTAGGTGGGAGCAAAAAAATATCAAAATTCGACATTATCTTTTAAACTAGAGATTAATAAACCCCAGTAATAAAAATGACAATAAAGAGCCCCCGTTGACTAAATAAGTTGCCCTAAGATCGAGTTCAAGTTTTCACACAATTTTCAACAGAGCAATGCAAGCTAATGAAAATATAGCTGACTCTCAGTTATACAATTTCAGTTATGATTAGCATACTTTCAAGATTTTCTTTCCCAAATGGAGAGCCTAAAGTAGCAAAAGATTTATTCATTAAGCAAAGAAGAAAATCCTTCATTTTTTTGACAAGCAAAAATAAGTAAAGCATAAATAGCTGTTCACACTGGATAAGACCATGTTTAAAAATAGCAGTAAGAATGTACATAGTGTATATAGGGATGAGGTTCTTGGTAATTTTATGTTTTATTTATGCTTATTATGTTTTGTCATTAATTCTTAAATAAATTTTTATTTTGAAAAAGCACCCTACTTAGAAATCTTTTTTGAAGGTGGGAGGGAGGGGGGAATATGACCCAAAGTCCAGGAGATAGTAATACTTGCCGTCAACAGAATCACCTGGGGTTAAATTGTCACCCACCTCTGCTACCAGGCCTTGCAGAAGTCATGGCATTCCAAAATGATTTACGGTTATTTTCCGAAGAACGGCTCCATGGGCTTTGCAATTATTGTGACTTCTGAAGTTCTTAGGCTCTTTTTATTTATTTATTTATCTTTATTGTTGAAAATATTACAGATGGTCCCCTTTTTTCCCCCCATTGACCTCCTCTACCCCACATCCACC